TAACTTGTCTGGAGCATACTCTTGCCATAGACCGGGCCTGGTTCAATCTCTACCGCTAGCGGAAGAAGGAAGGGCGTGGCGTTCGAGCGGAATCGAGTTTGCCGGCAGTGTCAAGTAGATTTGTGTGCATACTAATGGCCTTACTTGTAGTGGATATTTGTTGCTATAAGATACAGTGAATACAGCCAATTGTTTCGAGTTCTTGAGACTCGTAGCCCGTCGATTCGACGATCGAAAACAAAAGTCTGATATCTTGATGACAAAGCAAGGCCTCATCACCATGTGTCACTTTGAGCAAAGGGATATCTAACGCTGGCTTCAGTCTGCTTATTCATTCCGTCTAAGTTTGTGCGATTACGGAGCTTTCCATGTTCTAAAAAGAGAAAACGCTGTACACCAGCGTTTTACTTCGAAAAGCTATAGATAGAGAAATTACATATAAGAATGCTAATGATAAGTTTTTGCTTGTCCAGAAGCTAGGACAAGTGTATAAAAAAATAAAGCTGCCTCTTACACAAATTATAAAGTCGTCATTCGAGCCTCACTGGTTTAAAAAAAATGAAACTTCCACAATCTACCGGATTCATTAGTAACAGGCTAATGCATGTAAAGTCAGCTAGATGAGCTAATCACGTCCATATTGGTAAGTCATGAATGTCCTTCAAGTTCTTTATCGACTAGCTATGGAAGCCGTTACCGTCGTCGCTGTTATGATTTTGCCCGTAGACCGGATTTCTACTGGGCAAAGCAGAAATTTCCCTAACCATTAGCAGCGAAAACACCGTGTGTCCAGTTAGCCTTGATAAAACTGTGACTTGTCTTAGACTAAATTTTATTTTAGGTTACGTTGATTTGGCCTTTATCGCATCGTTTGCATATGCGAGTTCAAGATAGACTCCTGCGTAGCAAGATGGCAAGAGAGAGATTGGCATATACGGGTCGGCAGCAGGACATTCGCCTTTACCACCAACTCTTAGACAACAGCTTTTGTCTCTATATACGCGTTGAGAAAATCAAACAAAATACATACTATCATGAATATTTGTATAAATCATAAATCCATCTCAGTTATATTCTGGAAATAGCGGGCCACTTAACTGTCGAACAGACGTGGCCACCCGCCTTGTCTGACCTGCTTAGGTGAGGGTTCTAAGAATTTATGTTCAAGCTATTATAGACAACCCAAGTTCGATTTAACTACAACGCGAGCCAACATGGAGCGGCAGCAGACTCCGTTGTTGTTACATCATCGATCATTTTTCTATTGTAATTTTATTGTTTGTATTTTGCTTGTAGAAGTCGGCAGGAGCGTGTCAATGGCAGGAGTATCTGAAACGACCTGTCGCGTGCTTTGCACATTCCCATTATTGGCTTAAGTCGTCGGTTTATTTACTGGAGTGCAGGAGTTCGTGTATTTGTTGTAAAGCGCGTTCCATGTATGAACCGTTGCATATATAAGGGACAGTTCGCCTACATCGTAAGGAATACATAAACGCTATTGTTGCATGGCTGTAGTAACTTTCAGTCTATCGAGAAGTACGTCCGTCAATATACGTCGTGTGGCTGTTTGTATTTACGATGCGAGTAAGTGTTTCCGTTCGCTCCGACATTGAGTGCAGCTATTTAGAGGGGATGCCAGGGAGTATGCGACCTGGCTGATGAAAACGAAGTGATCCTAAGCCACAACTGTCCCCCATATGTATGGCTGCTGTTGTCATTGTTACTATTGATGCGGTAGCTGTCGCTGCTACCCTTGATAATAACGATGACGCTTGTTGCAACAGCGTTGAAGGACGACAGGAGGCGGCGGTATAATGTGTAGGGGCAAGGCACTAACGGCAAATCGACAGGCATATAGTACAGAACCAGGCTGGTAGACAGAGAGACAACGGCAAGAATGCGCCAATCGCCATCGACGATGATAACTGGTGGCATCACTTACAGGGATATGGCAATATATCGCGGTTGTATTTACTTCGCAACCGACATTGCTATGCTCTATGATCTGCGTCGTTTGCTACCGTTCAGCGTATTTGTGGCGTTCGAGCAAAACCAGGAAAAACAGTAGATTCTTTATTCCTTTCGCCAGTAATGACAACGGCGGATGTGGCGGCCTCTTGAACAGCTCCAGGAATACGCTTACGATTTCGCCGCAGCGCGCCATTCCACCCCGATAATAATAACAAAGGCTTTAATGCAGCTCACGAGTAGCTATGATACTGGCATCTTCGTGTAACCAAACGCAGGCATGAAAGGAGCTTGTTCCTCTTCTTCACCCTGAGTTACCTTTTGTGGAGGGTGTGCTTTTTATGTTTTCGTTGTCCGCGCGGGAGTTCGCAGCTGATTTACGAATGGCTGGGCGCCTTGTTGGCGACGGGCATAACATCCTTACGGTCGATGCCCCAGCGGCATCCGGCGGGGCTTGGCTATCTTCGGGTGTGGTGACATTCGGTGGTGGTCGTGAACCGCGCTTACCAATGCTCGATCTAGATACACGATGTACCTCGAGAATTGTGTGATTTCGAGAATCAATTACGATAGAGTACGCGCTACACTCGACAGACTGCACAATCAGGCAGCGATACATCTTGCCTCCCTGCATTTGTTGTATCTAAATATAAATGATTGAGAGGACCCGTATATTTGCGAAATCATGAAGAGTTAAGCTGGCTTGAAGAAAACTGACGACGAAATACAAAGTTTTTCTATAATTAGCCAATACATATTGTGAAGGCATTAAAGAAATCTAACGAATAGGAGCTAACGATCTGTCTTAAGCAGCTAGCAGAATCTGTGCTGGAGTTCAATAAATATTCTACTTTTAACGTATTGCTAGTGCATAATTGAGGTAAAGTTTTCACCGATAAGTTACAAACCAGAATAAAACTCTATTTTTCTCTAGGGAAACGTGCTTTCACTCTTTTATTTAACTGAACCTTGACTCAGCCTAGATATCCATCACAAAGTATAGTTGAAATACGTGCAAATAGTTATCAGTGAGGATTGGCTCAGCGGACCTAGACCATTGACCGCAGAACAATCCAACGCTTAGAGTACCGCCAAAGAAAAAGTTCGACTGAAGCACTGCCCGCACAAGTGAGATCCTCCTTCTATTAGTATGTTATGTAATGATACAGTAGACATGGACTAGGTGGCAAGTTAGCTGATCAGCTACCCGTTCCAGCGGGATGCATAAAGCATAGCTAGCTCTTGTTGCTCCTAATTACGATACATAGGCAGTAAATCTATATAATTTACATGATATAATCCAGGATGTTTCATTTGTAGTCACTGCGCCCACGAAAGCTGTGGGGAGTGGGTCGCGGCGATACTAATTCATTGTCAAGCAGACATTCCGGTTTATCTATTCTATTCAATTTACAACTGTTCACAATCGTAATAATCATTCTATTTTGTCTCAGTTTCGGGCCCTCTCAGATTAGCAGAAACAACGGGCGGCAACCAACAATAATAGGGAAAACGAAGGGTGGATTTCGGAGGTGGAATATGACTCATTCATTACTGAGGTGCTGATGCACATAGGACATACAATATGGAATATTGTAGTGACTTAGATTCGACCGTTTCAATTGGCCCCGTAATAAGGGCACTTGGCCTATTCCGTCAGCTATTTGATCGTTTTGAAGAGGCTAGCATGCAGATAACTTGTAAGTGAATCGTTCGAAATGCTAGAACTTATGCATCCAGGTGCATAACTGTCGGTGCACTGATCATGCGGCATGTAATTTAGATGGACGATCCGACGGCATCATGATTCAATGTTGTTGAGGACGATATTATGAGCAAAGAGCTAGCGATATTATAGCATGGGATTTCCGGGGAAATCATTTTCCGCTAAGTAACTCTTTGGGTATATGCATATATAATTGCCTATGTGCTACATTATAATGCTGCGTGTTATTATGGAAGTATGATTTATATTCGTCTTTACCTTACATTTTGCTATTGATAAGGAAATGTTGTCGAAATCGATATTGCCATAAGTCAATGAGGATATTGTATAGCTGTTTTTCTATTGAAATAATAACAACATGAAAAGTAGCCCTAAATGCTTTATTTGACAATTTTACCTGTATGCTACCACCCGGAGCACGTTTCAAAGCCCATGCTATTGTCCGTCCCTGCGATTCATGTGGCGATCCATGGTCCGTTCAATAGGTAAATATCGAGAGAAAAACGGAATAAAAATAAGATTGCATAGTAGAAATAAAAAGAAAGTTAATCGCTTGAAAATACTGAAGAGATAAACTTTATTTATTTTTTTATAATTACAGTTTGTGCTTTTTCTGTGTTCCCTTTGACAGTAGTAGTCATTGTTCACTATTCTGTTCTGAAAGCTCGCTCTGTTAACCCTCTAATTGAAAAATCTCTGTAAGGATCGTAAGCAACGAATGGAGATAGCTTTCCATAGAAAAGCACGTCGCGGTCATTGAAAATCTCAATCTTGTTTGAAACCTAGTGGCTGACATCGTTTTTGCATTCAAGAAAGACCACATTCTCTATATGAGATACAGAAATTAGCGCTAAAGCGCAATGTTATGTTTTACATAAAGTTGGCTAAACAGTTCAGGCAAAACAAGAAGGGATACCCCGCGTTACAGGACAGGTCTGTAGATAGATATGTGCGTGCAAAATTCTGTAACAAGCAAGTTTATTTGAAAGGCGACCTTTGCCTTAGCCTTGTATTTTATTAGTAAGCATTGTTTTTGGTGATCCTGAACAGCGAAAACAATGTTTATTAAACGATCTTTACTCGCTTATCAAGTGTTAGTTTTCTGTATCACTGTGTTGGTTTTAGATGTGTAAAATAAGCAAAAGAACGTAGAAAGTTCGAGATACCCACACTATTTGGCACATGAGCACGGCTAAGTTCGTGAAGGGAAAAGTATATGGACATAAATAGTACATCATAAAACAAGTAGTACTATTAAGTTATTGCTGCTAATTGAATCGCTTAAATGGTTCATCTCGACTTGCAGGTACAACTGAAGCAGCATGGAAAGGCGTCACGATGGAGGCCGAACGTGTCTGTGAGGTCCATTTGCGAGTAAAGGAACGACTGTTGGTCGATGTAGTCCAAGAAGTGAAACGATGGCAGAAAGACAATTTTCAAAGGAACATGATGCAGCAACTTAAACAGAAAAAAGAAATGGACGACGCCTTCAAAAAGGTTCGAAAAGAGACAGCCCCATTTCAATTATATTAGCCACTATTTAGATTGCCGATAGAGCCTGATGAATAACGATGCTATAAACGCGCGCATTTTAAAAATCCAAACAGCCGTTTTTTTAAGCTGAAGACGCAATAGTATCAGAGTCAGTTGACTATTCTTGCTATTTCTGCGTCTGTTAGCGCTACAACGACAGCAAGAAATTCAGTCGCATATAATTACTGTAGTTTGCATTGACAAACAGATGGCGTCTGCCTAGTAGACTTCGATCTATAGCTTAACGAAGCAGTGTGTTGGGACTTTCCTACGTTTGATTTTTATCGCTGTTGATATTGATTTTCCCAAGCCTATATCTTTTATGCATTGTTTGTGACACTTGACATCGGCGTAAGGCAAAGGCATGTTCCGCTCAAAAAAAATACCGAAGTTCAAGATACAGTAGAACGAGGATGCGTGTATGTGTAAATTAACTATTTCAAATCGAAGCTCACATCATCATTAGTGCTATCAGTCTGCCATTGGCTGGTAATTGCAATTTCTGCTATATTTTCTGCTACCTGCATCGACTGACTCTGCTAAACAGACCTTTCTTTTTATTAGCTCAAACAAACACCACGGACAGGTAGGTAAACAAATGAAGATCAGTTTGTATTCTGCTATCATTCCTCTCATGTCACTTTCGCACAACACCTTTCATAGCGAACAGATACCGCGTTGCAGTTGTTAGCAAATCATTTCGCCTTCATAACGTTCTCTTTGAGCTAACGCGGGTTACTTCGATCGGTGTGAGGATCGGCACTCACAGTGAACTAAGAGTGCACTGAGCCAGCCACAGGGACGTAGGACAAGGCCATGCGATAGGAACTTGCAGGTCGTCGATTCGTTGGCAAAAAATAAACTATAAAATAGCCTTAAACTGTTGTTCAGCTCGGTTAAGAAAATATTGGGTATATTACGAATAAAGAATGCACACATGGTTGGATCCGTAAAAGCAAAACAATTAAATTAGGATACGATCATTAGGCTGAATTGGTTCTTAGTCTTTTACACTAGGACTGCCCCTAACGGCTATATTGTCGCGACGCTAATGTGTCACGATTAGTAGATTCAGGTCTTCCTCTGGCGTACAGTTGGCTCAACCTTAGATTGATTGTTATAACCTTACTTTTGTTTTTACCTTACCTTATTTTTAGTAGTTGGGCAAGCAAGCAGTTTTGTTTTGTTCTCCATCAGCTATACTCTCGATTAATCAAAAACAAATTATAAATAATCACATTACTACAAAGTGTACATAGATCGTGTAAAGTCCAGTTTCTTCTAGAGAACTGAGCTTTTCTCCACCAACACTTACCAGTCAACATAGGCAGGTTCGACTACTAAGTACGATGCAGAATCGGAACAAAATGCAGTCATCGGTCGGACCAACCCAGTCCCATTTCCCGAACGTTTTTCACTTATGAAAGGATTCGAGGTTTACATCCAATCCATTTGAACTATTGTCATCGTTTCTTTAGTGCCCTCTCTTCGCCTCTTAAGGCCCTCGCCATTCAACGGTATGCATAAAGTAACAACAAACTATTGTATCAGCCGCGTGAACAATATGTAATTTATGCCAGCACCGATGGTTTCACGTCTGATCTGAAAGCTGTTGGTAGAGTTATTTACGTGGCGCTTAATGCGCGAGCGGAAGCTACACATATACATACACAAACACACACACACACATACACGCAGACAGAGGGACACACAGAAACATTGATACACAAACCCATAGACACACACAGATACACTCAAACACACAGACACACACAAGTAAATAGACACGTAGATACACAGAAACACATAGAGACACACAAGCACATAGACACACACAAACACCCAGACAGACACAAACACCCAGACACACAAAAACACCCAGACACACTCAAACACCCAGACAAACACAAACACCCAGACATACGCACGAACACACAGGTACACTGCTCTAACGGTAGCGGTCGCTAGATGCTGTTCGCCAGGACACAAAGCTCTTCGCTGGGCTCCAGTCACTATGTTTGAATGGAGCAAGGGTTGCCTATGATCGGCATCGCCATTATGGACGATGTATTATTATGTATGGATTATGAAGTACTTGTAAAGTATGCTAACTGCGGTTCAATACCGTTTCATGTAGCGCCAGTAGTGGTAGCGCAGCTAACGTAATGATCATCAGCTAGGTGCGCACTACGGGTACTGTAGTATTGATATCATTAGTGATTCGCTCCCACGCTTGCCAGCGGACGCTCGGATGATGAAAATGCTCGATACTCAGTGCCTTTAACGTGGGATGTTAATGTGTGGGAATGTAAATCGAGCTGAATGCATGTTAAAACAATAGAAAAAAAAGGATTCATTTGGTACGCGACCCCTGAGGTCGAGGTTCTTGTGACACTAAATGAGTAAATCAAATTGGGACTGCTACGTCAATTTACTACTTGAGCTACTCGTAGTTAGTCGTGAGTTAGAGAGTTGTAGGGTAGCCCGATAAAGTACAATGTGACTTAGGCAATTAGCCCGCTATAATACGAATCGGAGGGAGTTTATCTAGACGCTGTCATATACAACCTAATTACTACGACAGAATATCTCACCGACTTAATCGGATGCTCAGCGTAACACCACCGTACAGGGTAAAACTCGAAAAACTCTGACGCCTGTCGACGCTCCCGAGTTACCTGTCTGATGAATACATAAGCTGTTTCATGTCTCTGTCTTTCCCAGACATGCGCGCCCGATAATTTAAGATTTCAATAATGACTATGTAAAACCGCAGCGAACTCTTGTCTTTGGGTATGGGGGATCTCCAACATTCTTAAGCTACCCTGATGCTGTAGCATTGCATCCACAACATCGCCTTCGACCACAGCTCTGATTTTTTTTATTCGGCATTAGGTAAATCGCCCATTCAATCATCGCTGATCCACTGTCAGTTGTAACTAAGATGTGCCAGTTATTATTATATATATATGTATATGATATTATATGTGGTGATACTGAATACGCAATACGTAACTGGCAATGCTGCGACTGAACTAGTGGCGTTCGGTCCTTTTTGCAGTAATCCGTGTGCTTTTTTTCAGTGTTGAGCTACAACAGCCAGGGTAGATTATTGTGGTTCGTTTAGTGTGAGCCTTCCCGTTTTGAATTTTCATCAGCTGTTATCAATGCAGCTGCTTCTGTGTGTATGTGGAATCTGGTGCACTGGATTGACTTGTCTCTCCGCCTGCGTGTTTCTAGTTTGTTGAATTTAGCCGGTGGATATCAGCAGGTTGAAATGAAATACTTTGCATATATATACCCACTTGCTTCGGCTGAACCTTTTGCCTATCTGTCCTACTAAAGGCAGCTGTGTCTATAGTAGCTGATAGTAGCAATGCTCATAATGCAGTTCCTGATGGTTACCTTTAAATGGATCTATTGGGACCACTCGAATGGTGCCGTTGAAATCGACGCATCCTTCAGTCTTAGCGTTATGTTGTCTATTCGATTGCTCGGCCGTATGCACTGGCACAGCGTCTGGCGACAGTTTGACACACATCAGACGGAATTATAGACCACGAAGGAAAGCTAAGTGTGGCAAAGCAAGCCAGAGCGGTCGATACGATTTTTGATACGATCAATACGCTCGCAGCGCACAGCTCGTAGCGGTGACATGAATTACACTGTAATAAAAGGCATTTTGTTTACTAATTAGCTTTTTTCTATTTGATTAAAACTAGCTTGATACGCTAGTGAATTCAGCGGCAACAAGGGTCAAGTGTTGTGAATGGATGCACTAAATACCTGGACTTTTTCTGCCCTTCCGATTATCTATTGCATACACGTATCCTGTACAAGAGTAGTACTATTTGGACCTGAAGAAGTGGAGCGGTATTATCTTCTTTTAGGCGTGTTTTTTTAGGTTTTCGCTTTTTCGTCGCTAATGATCTGCCGCCTTCAGACGATTTACTCTTCCTCGGAAGTTTTTATGACTGACATCTTATAAACACAGCTATTAACAAGAAATCGATTAGGCGTTTCAGTAGGGACGCCTTTCTGATTTTGAAAATTCCTCTAAGCTATTCGACACATCGTGGACTTCATTGTAGTGCGGCGTAATACCAGATTCTCCCGAAGAGTGGTAGTGTAAACTTCCTTGACTCACTGCAATCGAAGGGCGAGGTCTCTTCGTTGTGAGTAAATGCTGACATGTCGTCAGCATCTGTCGCTCACGTACCCTACTATACTCCCTATCTCCGCTAACCGTCCAGCTAACTAATCCTGACTTATTGCTTTTAATTGGGCGAGATGTCTTAGGCGATTATTGCTTGCTGTTTTCGTCAGTTGGCTCAACTCGGCTCTGTTCCCATGATCGACTGCTGTGTTGTCAGAAGCTGGCATCTGCGGATTCGATGAGTGTCCGTTCTCAGCGTCTCGGGCTGAGCAGAAGCCTTCGTCGCCTATCGCCAATCAACTATGTTATCCGATCCGATGCGGTCAGCGCGTATCGCCATTGCTCCTCTTGTTGATTTGGTCCCGTTATTGTTGACGTTGCCGTGTGCAGTAAAGGATAGCGGCAACGACCCGCTTTAACCGTCGCGGAAGCTGAGATCAGAAGGCAAACGCTCTTACGCAGCATGGCGTCTCAACGATAGCCAGAAACAATACGGCAGTGTCGGCGATTCGTGATCGATCAGGGTCGTGCCATGGAAGAGATTTCAGCAGCTACGAAGGTCTGCTGTGTGGCAGACAGGTTTATAGGTCAGGACACCAATGGTGACGAGAGCATCTATAACTGTTTGCAGCATTTTGAGTCAAATGTTTCTGAGTTAGATCTACCCGATTCTGCTAGGTATACTTCCCAATCAGTTACTGGGGAAATGGAAATCATGAAACTTCCAATGGCTGTCAGACCTGGTGGTGTTTGGCAGGCGAGGAAATTCCACGGAAATACTAGGGCTATAGAGGGTGTCTGCTTTCTA